CCCACCCTTTCAGTTACTGTCCTCTATACCTTATTAACACAGATCTAAAAATTATCACCAAAGCACTAGCCACTAGAATAGAGACAGTTACTCCAGTGATGATCCACCCAGACCAAACAGGCTTCATTAAAAGTAGACACGCTTCGGATAACAGCTATAAACTATTTAACTTAATAAACCTTGCACAACAAAAACAAACTGACACCATAATTGTATCATTAGATGCAGAAAAAGCATTTGACAAACTGGTCATTTCTATTCAGCAAACTATGAAGGTTTGGTTTTGGAGTCTTTCAAAACAATACATACATCACCTAGAACTACAATAACTACAAATGGAATAACCTCACAAAGTTTCACACTTCGCTAGACAAGGATGCCCACTCTCACCATCTCTATTCGCCATTTTCATTGAACCTCTAGAAGCAGCAATACAACAGAATAATAGCATCAAAGGAATACAAGATACCAACTCACAAAATAAAATTAGCCTCTATGCAGATGATTTACTATTATATCTACAGGACCCCTACAGTTTACTATGACAAACTTTCTACATTATTAATACATTCTCCAGGATCTCTAACTACACAATAAACTGGAATAAATCCACCATATTGCCACTCTCTGAAGATGCCTGGGATTCTGCAGCTCAAGACTGTCCCCTACCACTTCACACTGGCAACAAAAAATATTTAGGCATCTGTATTTCCCCCAGGCTGTCAGAACCTTTCAACCTTAACTACAACCCTCTGCTAAAAAAGATCTTGATTTGAAAAGATGATTTCAAACGCTGTTCCAACCTCCCATTGTCCCTCATTAGCCGAATTGCTACAGTCAAAATTAAGACTTTGCCACAAATCAACTACCTGTTTTCAATGCTTCCCACAACACCAACAGATAAATGGTTCAAATCACTCGATTCTCTAACTTTGCAATTTTACTGGAATAATAAGAAACCCAAAATTTCCCTGTCAACACTCCAGAAGAACAAGCCACAAGGTGGCCTAGAAACACCAAATTTTGAGCATTATTTCTTAGCAAATCAATTATAATATTTAGTTAAGTAGATTCAGAAGAATAGTTGTAATAGCTCATGGATAAAACTAGAACAAAATGAACTACTGCAAAAATATCACAGTCTCTGCAACTCTGACAGCCTGGTGGAAAGCAAACAAAACCACTAAAACATCATTAACACCATGTAGATACACTCCAATTTGGCACAACCCTGACTTTCAACTGCATAACAATCCCATCTACTTTCCAACATGGCAACACAAGGGAATCACTCACCATCATCTATTTGAAAACAACCATCTTATACCGTTCAATACATTAGTCCAGAAGTACGGAGTTGGGAGAGGAGAATTTCTCCAGTACCAACAGTTAAAATCCATAATTAAAGATCAATATAATCAACAACCCCCTTCCATGCTAGCTGAGGAGATACTGAAATTTACAGACTAAAAGATGATAATATGTAAACTTTATAAACTAATGTCAAATACAGATAGAACTAGATAGACTAAATGGGAAACAGATTTGTTGCTCCCCCCTAGCCTCGACTTCTGGACCGAGATCTGTAATAATATCTTTTCCATGACTACCAATATAAACTTACAGCTTAAACAAAAAGGTTGATTACTTCCATGCTACTTGGACCTGTCAACACGTTTACTCCCTCTGGGTAGCGGTGACTGAGAAACTCTCCATCTTGAGCTGTAGAATCCCTCAATCCCCCTAATAACTTTTGAATTTCTATTAATGGATTATACTCTATGTGGGAAACAATTCCACTACAGCAGATGTCTATCTGGCAATGCTGTTACCAAGTTTAAGGAAATAATTCCATCTTTATCTACTTCAGTGCCGTTTGCCAACACAGTGGAAGGAGGCCACCTTAACTTTACTCCCACACAAATCGATAATCTTGTTGATAGTACTGCAGCCTTCCTGCGTAATACACTTATACCATTGCCCCTCTGAAAAGGAAGGCAGTGAAACAGAGAAGGCTAGCCCCATGGTACAGCTCGCAGCTCCGCTCCCTAAAGCAGGCATCACGAAAAATGGAAAGGAGGTGGTGCTCCACTAAGTCAGAAGAGTTTTTCATAGCCTGGAAAGATAGTTTAATAACATATAAGAAAGCCCTTGATGGTGCCAGAACTGCATTTTATTCATCACTGATTGAGGAAAATAAGAACAACCCCAGGTTTCTTTTCAGCACTGTAGCCAGACTGACAAAGAGCCACAGTGCTGTTGAGCTTAACATTCCCTTAGATCTCAGCAGCAATGACTTCATGAGCTTCTTTACAAATAAAATCACAACTATTAGAGAAAAAATGGGTCGAACCACTCCCACAGCTCTCGCAGATGTGCCATCTACTACAATGGCTTTAGAAACATCTGGAAGACCTCATTTATACTTGGACTACTTCTCCCCTATAGATCTCTCTGAGTTGACCTCAACAATTGCTTCATCTAAATCATAAACATGTCTCCTGGACCCCATCCTGACCTTATCTATGAAGCCAAATGAATCAGGTCAGCTGGTCAAACTTCAAGCATGTCTTAAAGACATGAAGGCCTGGATGACCTGCAACTTCTTACTTCTAAACTCTGACAAAAATGAAGTTATTGTGCTTGGGCCTGAAAACCTTAGAAATCTGCAGTCTAATCATATAGTTACTTTAGATGACATAGCTCTTGCCTCCAGTACTACTGTGAGGAACCTTGGAGTCATCTTTGATCAGAATATGTCCTTTAAATCACACATAAACCAAGTCTCTAGATCTGCCTTCTTTCACCTGCGCAATATTGCAAAAATCAGGAGCATCCTGTCTCAAAGTGATGCTGAAAAACTGGTCCATGCATTTGTTACTTCCAGGCTGGACTACTGTAACTCTTTACTATAAGTATATCCCAATAATTCCCTAAAAAGCCTCCAGTTAATCCAAAAGGCTGCAGCCAGAGTACTGACAGGAACTAGCAAGAGAGAT